TTTAACCATCCCTCCACCCTCCGGGGAATTCAGTTGCGGACCACTGCATTACAGCGTTATGGACTAATACTTGAAGAGTACGAGAGAGCTAGAGATCACCCAGAGTTGGAAATCAGGCCAGAGATGGACGGGACAGAAACTTCCTCTCATCTCGTGTTGTTTTCCTTGGATTAGACATTAATAGTCGCAATAGTCGTGTTAAGGGAGAGAGTCGTTCATCTGAGTCAGGAAAATTCGATATGTAGCAAATGCGAACGCTACGGATTGGACGGCGTTCCGATGGGGAATGGAGATCAATGTATTTCCCCAACTTTGGGGTCAAATAACGTCACTTGAAATGAGACGCGAAGGATCAATTAATCTGTCGGCGGAAAATCAGGTAACCTTTAATCCGAGGCCGACTGCCGACCGATCGATAAAAGAGCAAAGGAAGAAGTTTCCGAGGCGCAAGACGCCACCTAATTCTAATTCGTGATGAGCATCTCCCCCCCCCCCACCCCGTGAAATTCAAAATCATAATCATAATCCCTTTTTTATGCCGATGACAAGGCCGCCTCTTCGTTACGATCAGGCAAATTTTAGAGGTGTCTTACTTTTCCCCCGTCTTCCTCGTTGGGGCAAGAACCTACAACCCCAGGATCGAGGGAATGAGCAATACCGAGATCTTTTTGCCTAGGAGAAAAAATCCATGTGCTCGTCCCTGAACTTACCTACGTCAGTCGCTTGGAGATGTCTTCCCGGTTCTGCTATCTTTTCGCAGTCATCATTTACCTTGTTTCAATCCATAACCATCTCGCATCCCAAACACCCCGATTGATTATCTCTCGTCTTCCCTTTCTTTCTTTTAGCATTACAGTCGAACGCCGATTATCCGAACTAATTGGGACCGGGGGTGGTTCGGATAACCTATTTTTTTCGGATAACCGAACACTGCCACAGAAAGGTTGCGTTAAAGAAGTTAGTGCATAGAATACAATATACAGTAATAAAAAAGACGGGGGCAGTTCGGATAATCGGCGTTCTACTGTATTTTACAGTATTCTTTCCCTCCTCGCTTTCATTCTCTCAGTTATTTATTTATTTATTATCCTTCCCTTGCCTTCCCGATCGGTCGCTACCCTTCCCGGTAACCTGGTTACCAGGTTACAGAACTTTTCCCACCCCTGGTGTCATCAATAGGCGAATTGTAAATAGTGAGCTGATCTTTGTCACCAGAAGACGTCATCATCCCTACAGGAATTGCATATAATTGGAACCATCATAGTTCTGCAATAATTTTGGAAATTATTTGTTTTTTTGCTCTTACCCATAAATGTCCCACCCGTAACACGTGTTTTGCATACTTACCTGTTAGGTACAGGACTACAGTTGCACGTGCTGATGCGCATTGTTGCCCCATGATAGAAGACAGGGTGACACATTTGCACAAGCTCGTACATACGAAAGGCAACATTTCAAGTCAAAATTGTCCCACCTGTAACGTTTCCTGTTAAGTCTTTCATAATTAAATTTAAGGCTGGCAATAATTTTATTTTGAAAATGTAATATGTTTGATACTGTGGATAATAATAATAATCCATAATTTTAGTCTCTTAGTCCAAACCGTTCCAAAGATACATGTCAAACATTTTGACAAAATGGCAGAAATGATGAATACCACAAAATTTGTAACTCTTTACATGAGTCTTAAACAACCTCCAGTAAGGGATCAAATGCAAGCTATAAAAAAAAATCTTTTTAAAGATATGCAACATGTATATGATAATATAATATATAATAAGTAATCCAATTTTAAGCATTTGTAATATTTGTCCTACCTGCAACTAGTCATGTGCGGGACAAAAGTATCATGTGAATGCAGGATAACTTTAAATCTTGAGTATCATCCCTTCGTGTGGTTACTAGGGTACACATAAACATATATGACAATTAACAATCGAGGTAAATCTTGCATCACAATTCTGCGCCAAAATGGCTTCATCATCGATATAACCACTGAGACCACACAAATACACAGATTTGGAGAGTAATTTAATAAAAACAGGGACATCAATGTCTCATTTTGAAATCCTATTTTTGATGCCAGTCAAGGATGGTTCCTTTTTTTTTGGAGCAAAACACATTCTGGAAAACGTGTCTCTGGCAAAAAATGTTCCCTGAGGGGAATTATATTAAGAGTAATATATATATATATTTTAAATTCTGAAATCAGTACACGAAACACTACTTGCTAACCAAGTTCCAGCTTTATATGTTAACCCTTCTCTCTGGAGCAAAAAATTTATTTGGAAAACATGACACACCCAAAATTGTGCCCTGAGGGGTGCAACAAAAAGTAGAATTTCTCTTGAACTCAACATTGCATCAGTTATGTGTCCCAAGTTGGACCTTTGCACCTTTCTATTTCAGCCCGAATCGCTGGGACAGGAAAAAAAAATGCCCCCAGGGGATTTATCTGAAAAGTAACATTTTTCCTGGACTCAGTATCATGATAGGCATGTTCATGACAATATTTATCTTTATATGTCTCTCCGTTTGACGGTAGCAAAAAAAAATATTGGAAAACGTCTTCCAAAAAAAAATGTGCCTCCAGGGCATGTACCTCCAGTCAGAATTTTTCAGAACTCAGCATCCCAATTGGTACTTATTTGCCAAGTTTCAGCTTTAGGCCTTATCTAGAATATGGTTAAAATTAGCGTCAGTCACTCAGTAAGTCAGTCAGTCCATCAGTTTATCTATATGCAGGTATATTAGATATTAGATTTGTGACAGAAGCCAATAGTATTAAAATGTTATCTAAATTTAATTTTTTTAAATCTTTATATATTAAAAATTCCAATTCAAAAATAAAAAAATAAAACTTCGAATGGTGTGGTGACCAAGACCATGAGCCTGAAAATAAGATGCCCCATCCATAACATTTTTTTTTGCTGTCGGGATACTTACGCATCACTGTCAAATCGCCCTGCTTGTTTCCATTTCTCTTCCTAATTCTATTTCAAAGAATGTTTGTCCCTGTCAATAAAAATAGCCTGAACAATGACCATTGATTCATATCTTAATCTGGATGCTGATTGGAAGTAGGTGTAACCGAAAAATTAGTCCCATCTGTAACACTTCCAGGGCAGTATTTCAAAACCCTAATGAGGTAAAATTAAAGTGTACTCATGTTTTAGGTATACATGAGACTGGGGGTTGGGGGCCATTTTATGCCCCCACCCCCAACCCCAAACCCAATCAAATTAAAACTCACTTTTCTTGGTCTTCGTTCAAAGCACAGACATATGTTTTTGTCTGCAGGGTATTCTCAAAATATTCCGACCGTTTGCCAAATTTCATTGAATTCTGAGATGGTTAAGCACTTCATCCAAGGTGGAATGATCCACCTCTAACCACCTTTAATTCATCTCTAAATGGGCATTGCACAACTTAGGCATGGGTGCTGAAAAAATGCTGACATATATTTCAACACCTTGTTACTATCCAATATCGATCGCGTATCCATAGTAATTTTTTTGGCTGCATTAACCCTGTTAGTCCTCCCACTTATCAGTGAAGTCGTTTTCAATTCCGAGTGAGGCTCATTCTACCCCGGAAGACTAACGGAGGGGTAAAGAAATTGTTTCGCCCATAGAAAATGGTAGAGCGCTTTTTATTTTTTAAAATCACCCTATACATAGACGACCGGGACTGAATGACTGACACTAATTCTAAAAATTTTCTATTGAAGTTAGAAATCTGAAACTTGGTATACAAGTAACTATTGGGATGCCGAGTTCAGAAAAAAAAATCAGACTTTGGAGGTACATGCCCTGGGGGCATATGCGCCGACTTTAAGAAATATTGGGGGTAAGTTCGTAATGCCGCTGAAATAACATTGACGGAATTATTCCAGGATCCGTTAGGGTAGTTCAGCATTATTATGGTAGCAGAGTGACGATCCGGGGGGGGGGGGGGGTTTGCTTGGCATGGTCCTTCCACCCCATACCCTTACGGCGTGACAGGGATCTCCCCCAGTTGGAGCTCTGAACAGAAAGGAAAATCATATCTTTCATTTCTTTCGTGAAGCAGCATTTTGTTTCCAATTTTTCATGTGTCATGCTTTCGTTGAAATTTGGCCATTCTTGGTGGGGCGTTGCCCCCTCAATAATATAGTTGGGGGAGCACGCGAATTGGGAAAGTTGAACTTGGCGTATGCATAAGTGAGGTGATGAGTTCCGGAAAAATTCAGCTATTGTGGTGCATTCCCTCAGGGCATCGCTTTTGGGTGAATAGGCTTTTCCAAATATATTTTTGTATCAGCGAAAAGAGCAAAAGTATGAGACTGAAGCTTGGCGGGCATGAAGTTCTCCGAGAACTGGTTGCAGTAAAAGTTATTCAGTAAAAAAAAAATACTTTAATACTGTTTGCCCCATCGTTGCTGTGCAGACTAAAGAAGGACTAGAATGTTCTAACCGTCCTCTATGTCCTTGGCAGGAATTATTTTATGCGATTAAGTGATCGTTGAATGACAAATGGTTTTGGGGCTGAGTTGCCCCATCTAGAAAATATCAATGGCTAGCCACTGATCGCCTGGTTTGACAGGAGGGCATGATTTACTTTATGGCTCTTTACGGCAAGAACCACTGAAATTCCATCAATAAGGGAGCTTGAACAAGAGGGAAGTCAGAAAATGTATAATTAGAGGATATTTGGAACAAATGAAATGAAACTTTGCATCAAGTAACACTTCTTAACCCCCCCCCCCCCCCCCCCCCCCCCCCCACACACACACACACACACACACAGAACAAAAATTAAATTGTGCAACACTGAGGCTATACCCTACCCATATGGATGCGCACTGGTGTGGCCCATGTGGTTTTCTGAATAACTTCACGGCGTAGGGTGGTTTAGTCTTTGCTGTTGACTTGACGCGACTGATGCTGAGGTAGCGGTGTTTGTCATGCAAACAATTATTTGATACAAGTAAGCATTTATTATTATTTTTTTTTGTAGAGCAGTGTGCAGACAAGGCAGGGCAACCTGCATCGGCCTACGATGAATGCACCAAGTGTGCTCAATCTGCAGCCAAAACCCAGCTGCTCTCCCCTTTATTCGTGTTGGTTTTAGTGACAGGAGAAAGTCAAGGTATTCAACCGACCATGTGGGGGCCCTCATTGTTCACGTTTTCCATGGTTTGCTTTATCATCCATTCGCACAGAGGCTCCCTTGAAGAGCCTCCTCATTCCTCCTTGCAAGATGTGAGACGTCATTCAGGTAGGCTTTACGAAAGATAAAAGTTTGTTAGGTTCTCATGGCATTAATTCAGAGTGTATGAATTGTCACCGTTAAAAGTGTCTCCTGCTCTGCACATCAGTGTAGGAATTCCCCTGTCTGCTTCTCTGATGACTGTTCACAAAACAGACATTAACATTAGGTTAGTTAGTTGTGTCATAAAGAGTTTATTGCTTTATTTTTAGGCAGACTAAGAGTTTAGCTAGTCACCTTAGTTGAATTACATGTTGTTAGGAAGCTACCAGCTAGAAAGGAGTGCTTCGGTATATACAGGGTGCCCTGAAAAATGTTTGAATTCAAGGTGAACAATGGAAAAACCAATATGGTTGAAGTAAAATCTTTAGTGATAGGTATGTCTAGAAGTGTTACTTGATGCAAAGTTTCATTTCATTTGTTCCAAATATCCTCTAATTATACATTTTCTGACTTCCCTCTTGTTCAAGCTCCCTTATTGATGGAACTTCAGTGTGTTCTATCTGATGCACAATTCATGTCAATGTTTGAATCTTGTGTTGTTATGATTCCTTGAATATGACCCATTTGAAAGTGTAAACAATTTATAAATTTCCAGAAACAAACTGAGTGAGAGCTACTGTATATTATAAAAAACAAATGATTTCTATAAATTAAAAGTTTGCAAATCTTAAAAAAAAATCTACCAGTATAAGGTAACCTTGTATCTCAAAACACACCATTGAAGGGTTAACAGGGGATACATTTGTCATAGGCACATTGGATTTTGCCATATTTGATCAGATCATCCATGGAAGAGCTATTGTCAGGATAACATATCACCCTCTACATCAGGTGTGGACAAACTTCTTAGCATATGGGCCTCTATGAGAAAACACAAGCCTTTGCTGGTCCCAGAAGCTAGAGATAGGGGTAAGAATAAGGACACATCAACACCTCAATGGGACATGCAGCTGCCTGCAGTTTTTTTAATGAGTTTTCTTACAGTAGCTGTTGGGACGTCCATGATGCTGTTGTGGGCCAAATTGGCCTCATAAAATATGTAGTGCAGTGGCTCTTTTGTATTCTTCTTTGCTAAATACAGTCAATTCATTTTTATACATATATAGCCCCTACATTACTGTTCTGTAGCATCTCTGGTAAAAGGAGATAACTGGAATTACCTCCTTTTTTTTACCCAGCCTTCTTGATAATGTTTGCATCAGTTGACTCATTGCTATTATGACTTTCTCCACACTTTCATTTAACTTAAGCCAAAATGCAGCTCACTGGATCCATGAGAATGAGGCATTCTGTTTTCAAGCTATTTAATTTTTATGGCATACTGTTTGGGCAGTCTTATCCTCCCATCCTTTATGGCTAAGGCATCCTGAAATTTGAAAATATTGATCTGAGACATGAGATGCTGCAGAGTTGTCTGCCAGAAAAATTATTCAGGACAATAGCTTGACTTTGGGGAACTGTTTCTCATTTTCTACAATGACCATTCCTTTTTGTTGCAGCCTCGATCCTTCAATGCCCCTATGAGCAGTTCTTCTGCCCTCAGTCTAGAAAGTGCATACTAGTGGAATTGTTGTGCGATGGAGTTATCAACTGTGGGTTAGGTCAAAACCACACTCTTGATATGTCTGATGAGGATCCATCCATATGTAAGTTGAATGGGTAATATAGGCCTATGCAAGTCTTTTTGGGGGTATGGAAAATTGTTTTGCATATATAGGGTCTGACAAGAAAATAAAGAATAACTTTTAACTAATATATTTGGCCTCTAAAATGGAGACCTCTATGAATGGAAAGGGAAGCTACTTCTTATTGCCATTTTATTTTTGCAGGTCTGGTTGTAGGGAAACCTTGCCCACGCAATTTCTACTTGTGTAATGAATCACCCTCCAAATGTCTCCCAGTCTCAACTCTCTGTGAAGGAAAGCTGCAGTGCAAAACATTTTTCAATGAAAATGCTTTCTGTGGTGAGTTCAGTACCCTTTTTCAAATCTGCATGTTTCATCGTCAAACCTGTTTTTGAGAATTAACTTGGAGTTTAGTGCAGAAGGCTTTCAATGAGGTCTCTAATGACTCTGGGAATCAGAGATGAGTTCAGACTTAGATAATCTATTTGAATTGGATATGATGATTCAATGAGGATTTTCTATGGTACACTATACTGCACTTGCAGCATATATATTAATGCTGTTTGCAGAATTTGAAAGGGGAATGAATAATCTTTACAATGGTGTATTTTCTTTTCAAATATCTTCAAAAGTTTCAGAAATTCGGGTGCTCATATAAACACCAAGCAAAAATTACATTGCCACAGGACAAGACACTGATGGACAGGCAGCAGCCTTCATGACTGAAGGTCACATGCCATCTCCCTCTGAGGATGTGGCAACACAGTTTTCATGTGCTGTTCATATGAGCTCCTGAACTTCTGAAACTACTGAAGATATTTGATAGGTAAACACATAATTTTAAAGCTTATTCATTCCTCTTTCAAATGCCACAAACTGTGTTAAAATATCTGCTGGGTTTTTTTGACCCACCCTGTATATGTGAGCAATATGAGACTTGAAATGAATTCAACTGTTATCTATTTGGAATTTCAGAGTACTTTGTACTATCTGCAGGAAAAAAAACTGCATGGGCTTAACTGCCTGTACAAAAATTAGCAGCTAAAGGTTAAGAGTTAAAATTCACATGACTTCTCCATGCAAAAAATTAGTATGGATATGCAAAGTCAAATCTCTGTTTCTGTTGCACAAATATTGATAATACTACAGAGTATTGAATGATAATTTGTTGCCTTTTCCTCCCACCCTCCCTTTTTGACTCAATAAGCACTGACAGTGACACCAACCAGGTGATGTGTTTTAGGACATAACTGATGATTGGCCATTGTCACTACAACTCTAGATAGAATGGATTGCAAGACTGATAGGGTGTGTCCAAATGAAGTGTTTACAAAAATAAACAGTAATAATTATGGAACCCATGGTGGCAGCGACCTGTGGTTTTTGCAATATGTTGAGCAACTCACCAAGTTTGTAACCTGAGAACATGATCATGTGCATTGTGCACATGTTTATCAGCAGAGTGTTGTGGATCCCCAGCTTAGTAGAGTTGGCATTAGTACAAGAGAATTTTCAGTGTGTTCTGTAGCTGACAGAGTGAAAATGGGTGATTAGGGTGTAACACGAGTTTAGGAAGGTGTATGGTCATCAAGCCCCATCCTGCACAACCATCATGAAATGGGATAGACAACTGAGGGAAACTGGCAGTTTGTTACTGGTTAAACAGCCTAGTACAGCAAGCATGTCCGTGGCAACTGTTTATCACATACAGCATGTATTCATATAGTCCACAGAATTCAATCTGCAGGGCAAGCTAGGAACTGCAGGTATTAGGTTCAATGATTCATGATGTTCACAAACATCTCCACCTACATGCATACAGGATTTAGTTGGCAAAACATATCACTGACTGGGACTGTGAACTAAGGAATGACTTTGCCACAATTGTTGCGTGTTGGGGACTGAGAATCCACATGTTATCTGTGAAGAGGAACGTGACTCTCAAAAGTTAATGTTTGGTATGGGCTGATGAAGGATAGAGTCATAGGTCCATTCTTCTTCATTGAAGCCGCAATCACAGGCACCTCGTATAGGGATGTGGAAATTTTGCAGTGCCCCAATTTCCTGAAATCTCAACTTTCCTGCAAGTTGGTGCCCTACAGCACTTCAGCCATCAGATCCAAGACTTCCTGGATGATCATCATACCAAAAGGTGGATCAGAAGAGGTGGTCCCATTGCATGGCCTCCCATATTGCCAGATTTAACCCTCCTTGACTTTTTTCTGTGGGGTTATGTGAAAAACATTGTGTATCAAATGAAAATCAGCACCATGGATGAGTTGAAGGACAGAATTACTGCTGCTATGAACATCATCATAAGGACAATGTTAGAAACTCTTGGAGTGAGGAGGAAGACAGGCTTGATATCTGTTGGGCCACAAATGGTGTCCAGATTGGGTGTATTAAGGGTAACTAGGTATCAGATACAAAACTTGTTGAGTTGCTCTACATATTGCAAAAAACCACATGTTGCTACCCTCATAGGTTCCATAGTTATTACTGTTTCTTTTTGTAAACACTTCATCAGGACACCCTGTATTAATTGAATCAAATGGAAAAATACTGCCTGAACTCACCTCTGGTGTGCATGCAATGCAGCCAAACTCAAAATGCTACAGGATCCCATCCTGTGCTTTTCTTATGTGGATAAAAAAAAATGGAGGGAGAAGAAAATTTGATAATGGAAAGGCATCATCAAAGCTAATTAATTCCTGAGAAGTTGTAAAATATCAGTAACCCTCATGTATTATGACCTATGCAGCAGTGATGACTTTTCTGCTGTATGTGTGAGCATTTAATCATAAATCAGTTTTATGTATTTATTTATTTATTGAGCCCTTGCATCTCAGGTTTGCCTGACCTCATTATCTCTGAACAGGGAAGCATAACAATTCCTGTGTGGCAAGCACATGTAGCTATGGATGTAAACCAGATCCATATCNATTTAATCATAAATCAGTTTTATGTATTTATTTATTTATTGAGCCCTTGCATCTCAGGTTTGCCTGACCTCATTATCTCTGAACAGGGAAGCATAACAATTCCTGTGTGGCAAGCACATGTAGCTATGGATGTAAACCAGATCCATATCACGTGGGAGAACATCTATGCTTTTGTCCAGATGGAGAAGAACCACATGGAGACAGTTGTGTGAAGTCTTGTGAGTTTGCTTTGTCTTTTCCCAGTTTACATGTGTTTTAAAAGCATTATAACAATAAACAAAGGAAACAGAAGGATCTAATGGAGAGATATAAGAAATGACTACTCAAAACTTGAGTCCAATCTATTTCCACACTTAGAGGGCAACTCATGTATGATTTGCATTAGGTGAGGTAGCCCACATCCACATATAATCCATTCCACAATGTAAGTCTCTTGGAGTATTTAGTGCTCCTGGATGTGGAAAGTTTCTCTGATGCATGAATTTTCCAATCTCAGGATAATCCACACTCATATACAAGGGACATTCAAAAAGTTCTGGGAATTCCACCAGTGTACCAAAGGAAATTGAGCTTAACCTATTCTGATCAGAGGTTTTGGATAAAGGCTTACCTTGTATATTATTGAATTCAGTATTGTTGCCCGAATAATCTCCTGAGCAGAGTTTTTCATCTCAGTTCAGTTGTATTTTTCAAAAGCTCAGTGAGCGGTTATTCTCTTTTTGTGGAGAGATGGTGCATGTGATTCTGATATTGTTCAGAGGCTGCAGGCTGTCTTTGGAGAATCTACAGAATTGAAGAGTACCATTTACTGATGGCTGGAGCAGTTCAAGGATGGTCACTGTACCTTAGAAGATGACCCTTGCAGTGGTTGCCCTTAAGCAGCTACTACCAATGAAAAAATTCACACTGCAGAAAGTATTCTAATGAAAGATCAACAAGTTACCATTCAGGAACTTGCTACTACCCCAGGGGTCTGCACCAGCAAGGCTCATGAGATTCTCCACAAACATCTTGGTAAGATGAAGGTTTCTGCCAGATGGGTGCCTTGCCTGTTGGGGCTTGAACAAAAGGTTGATCGAATAGAAACATGTTGAGAGCTGCTTCAACTTAGCCAAGATTACAAGGAGAGTTTTTCGACCATACTATCACTGTAGATGAAACATAGCTTCCCTACTTCAATCCCAAGACCAAATCATTCTGATTTGGTGTGGTGCCGATCTGAAGAAGGACCTCCTTTGAAGGCTTGAACTGTTCCCTCTTTGGAAAGGTTATGATTATGGTTTTCTGGGATTGCAAAGGGATATTAATGACTTACTACTTACCAAAAGGTGCCACAATGAATGCAGAAGACAATTCTAATCTGCTTTTGAGCCCTCTCCAACATGCTCTTATTGAAAAATGCCCTGGGAAGTTGCATTCATGGCCACTTCTTTAGCATGACAATGCAAGGCCCCACACTAGCAGCCACAGCAGAATTGAGGTGGGAATTGCTCCTGCATCTGCCCTACTCACCAGATCTGGCTTCCCAGTGACTATCACCTCTTCAGCAAGATGAAGAACCCTCTGCAAGAAGTGTGTTTTGATTCCCTAAATGCAATGAAAGCTGCACTAAACAGGTGGATCAGAAACACTCCAGAAAAATTTTTTCTGACAGTCTTTGGAAACTGATTCCATGCTGGAGGAAGTTCATCAAACTTGGGACTATGTTGAAAAGTCACAGTATTATGGCGATGAATAAAGAAGTTGCCCAGAAATGATAAAGAAATTCCCAGAACTTTTTGAACGTCCCTTGTACATACTGGCCAAAGTAATAGAGACCACCTGCCAAGTACAGGGTGTCCCAGTTAATGTGGGATTTTCATGCTTAATCGAATGTACAGTATATTGTAGATGATCACGAGTGACTCATTCTAACCATGTTCTAGACATGGTAGAAACCTGAAACTTAGAACATATGTAGCTATTGGGATGCTGAGTTTCTGAAAAAAAATCTGCCTTTGAAGGTACAATGCCCTGAGGGCACTTTTTTTTGGGGGGGGGGGGGGGGCCATTTTCAAAGGAAATTTTTTTGCTTCTGCATAATGGAGAGACATGCCGAAATTTGGCATGAATGTATCTGTTGAGATGCTGATTTCATGAAAAAATCACTTTTCAGATACAACCCCTCAAGGCATATTTCTTGAGTTAAATCATTCATTTTCATTTTTCATTGAGTCATTTTTTCTTCCAGAAAATGTTTTACAACCATGAAATAGAATGACTTATGAACCTTAAAATTGGTATATTGCTGATCAAATGCAAACTGAAACTTAGCTCTGGAAAATTTATCGATGTAATTAATATTTTTTGAGAATTTAAGCCATTTCTGATTATCACTTCAAATATTATTTATCATTAAAATCCCTAAATGCTAACTGGGACACCTTGTACTTGTTAGCAGTTTTTATTATTAATATTTTGGTTGGTTTGTAAATAAGATATGCACCAAGGTTCATTGGGGGGTAATTCTGTATATAATCCATGGATTATGAACATTACTACAGTGAAATTTCATCATTGCTTAAGAGTAGTGCTATTTTGGAGCCAATTTTTTCAGGTAACTTTGCAAGGCCAGATTGTAGTAGATAATATAAATCAATTGGTCAGAATTGATATTCAATCTAGTATAAACATGATATATTTTGGTTTGATGAATTTTTTATCATTCGTACCATAGTTCCAAAGAAGTGTGGAGTTGGCATATGTGATGACCCTGGATTGTCTTGTGAGGTTGACATTTCAGGCCAATATAATTGCTCCAATCATGGAATAGGGGGCATTGATCCATCCCGTGAGCATCTTACATCTCATCCTCTTGCTTGACCTTTATTGTAATTATGTTCCTTTTCTATTGAGTCTATTAAACTGTTATTCATGAAAATGTTTTCTAGGTGAGGATCAGCAGAGCTCCTTACTGACACTTAGTGCTGTTCCTTCTGCGGGGCCAAAAAATGTNTAATTAATATTTTTTGAGAATTTAAGCCATTTCTGATTATCACTTCAAATATTATTTATCATTAAAATCCCTAAATGCTAACTGGGACACCTTGTACTTGTTAGCAGTTTTTATTATTAATATTTTGGTTGGTTTGTAAATAAGATATGCACCAAGGTTCATTGGGGGGTAATTCTGTATATAATCCATGGATTATGAACATTACTACAGTGAAATTTCATCATTGCTTAAGAGTAGTGCTATTTTGGAGCCAATTTTTTCAGGTAACTTTGCAAGGCCAGATTGTAGTAGATAATATAAATCAATTGGTCAGAATTGATATTCAATCTAGTATAAACATGATATATTTTGGTTTGATGAATTTTTTATCATTCGTACCATAGTTCCAAAGAAGTGTGGAGTTGGCATATGTGATGACCCTGGATTGTCTTGTGAGGTTGACATTTCAGGCCAATATAATTGCTCCAATCATGGAATAGGGGGCATTGATCCATCCCGTGAGCATCTTACATCTCATCCTCTTGCTTGACCTTTATTGTAATTATGTTCCTTTTCTATTGAGTCTATTAAACTGTTATTCATGAAAATGTTTTCTAGGTGAGGATCAGCAGAGCTCCTTACTGACACTTAGTGCTGTTCCTTCTGCGGGGCCAAAAAATGTTAACTTCACTTTCCAGTGGACATTCCCAGATTCAAATACAACAAGCAAAACTTTCCAGGAATTAGAGGTTGCTCTGTGGAAAATCACAGGTGCTGTGACATGCGATGTTGATATTCAAAAAGGCTGGCTCTGCTGTGTTGAAGAGGACTTAAAATTAGTTTGTCGAGCTTTTCCTGATCTGAGTTTGGACACAACACACTTTGTTCAAAGGGTCCCATTTTCTCCTGCTTCTAGTGAGTTGAACAAGGATTCTTCTGCTTTTTTTGTCTCCCCTTTAACACATTCACTGCCAAAGACGGCATACAATGTATTCATGCCTCCTTTGAAATAGTTCTCAATATCTTAAATTCTTCAACAGGTGCAGCTCAAATGCTGCAAAAAATTTGGGAAACATAAAGGAGACATAGAAGAAGTGATGTAGATATCTACTTTCACTCACAACTCAACTGAGAATTTATTTTCAACAGTTGATAAAGCACTTCTTTTTTTTTGCAGTCACATGTGGCAGTGAATGTGTTGGAAGACATGAGGCCTACTATAAACATTTGAATATCTTATTGCTCTTTAACCAGTCACATCCTTCAGTTGAATTATGGAATAAGCAGAGGCAGTTCAATGTTTCTTGAAGCTGAAAAAACTTATTAAAGCAAATTTTTAGTCTCAATTTAACTGTCAAAGCTTCTTGATTGCTATTTTTTTGCACCTTGTTAGGTAAAAAGAGATTGAGGCAGTTGGGTACCATCCCATAGAAATAATTTTTTTTTTACTGGTATAATTTTTTGCATAATGATGATGGATTTTACTGAGCCTTTTTCCATATTTCACCCAACAAATTTGTTACTTTTGTTGAAATATATAATAACCACTATGCAGCTGGGGTTATTTCTTGCTTTCTTTTTGTCTGCAAATAAATTTAAAACTATTCTGAATGGAAAATTCATCAACTTGGTTATGTAGAATATTGGTATTTATGTACATCTTGACTTCTACCATGTGGTGCCTCACCCTCACCCACCTTATTTCTGGTTCAAAGTTCTAAGCCTGGAAAATAATGTATTTTTTTGTATTGTAAAACATGCACATACAATGCATGTCATTCACAGTTGTTGTGCCAGACTTATCAAGTCCACAAGACCATCCACCAGAGGAGGAAACAACAAATAATAATAATAATAAAACATAAAAGAACTTGAAAAAATAAAATCAAATCAGATCTTTTAAGTTGAACCAGGAAGTAATTCTCACTGTATTCTCTTCCAAGTTTTGCCTTTGATGCATTATCCTCTTGGGCTCAGCTCAGCCAATGCATTGAATTCTCATTTCAGTTGTGTCTGACCTCCTGCTTGATTGGGTTAGTGGGAACTGGTATTTTGTGACATCCCAAAGTCTTCATCGCACCGTTGGGACTGTTGTCACACTGTGCAATCATGACCTGAAACATTGTACTGTTCTTGATACATATTTCTTTCCACCTGGCAAACTGATTGGGGTCAACCCACTATCAGGGTGAGTGCCAATAGCTCCAAAGTTTTCATATTTTAAATTGAAAGTTGATGAGAAAGGAAAGTTGTATATTATTGCATATTCATAAACATTTTGAATTACTGGTCTCTTTCTTCAGGAACTTATATCTGAAGGACAAATATGGTGAACCTGACCAATGCAACCTACTGGAACGAAATATAGATGGGAAGACTACTTCAATGAACATGTGTTCTTCAGGACAGAGAATGTTGGGTTCTGGCATTGGTTTGCATGGAAATGTGACTATCAAGTATGCTCTTGTATCATCTGAGTCCCCAAATTCTAATGTTACTTACCTGAAAATTTTCACTCCAAACTTCAATGAAACCATCCTTTTGCTCCCTGTGAGTGTTTTTTCTTTTTTTAATTCATTGCCAGCATATTGCAAAATACTTATGAACTTTTTTTTTATGAATGTACTAAAAAATGTTATTTGTCATAATAGGATGAGCCCAAACCAAGAATTGATTCTCCTTTGCATGAATGGAATGGAAAGTTGTATGGAATAGCTGAAAATGGCTACCTCTGGAGTAGGGACTTCAAGTCTGGGAATATCACAAGGAATGCTGCCTTTTCTGATTTAGGAACCTCATATATCTTTGTCTATCATCCAAGGCGACTGAAAGGTAAGTTTTCCTTTCTTTGGTTGTTAAAATGTAAGAGAAATAACAGGGAAGGAATGACGAAAAAGTGCCTTCTGTTGTGCTTATACCTGCTATTAGGATTGTGCTAATTATTTGCTATCATTTGGTGATTGACCATGCAATGAGAATATCTCAAAATCATGGCCTAGTTGCAAACAAAAAGCACCAATGATTGGTTCACTGCATGTGGATTTTTTATTATTGGCACCCTGGGTTTTTTCCATTGATTTTAAAATTCTGCCCTTAAGATTTGGTTATATCATGATATTGAGTGAGATATGGTTGGTGATATTTATCCTTAAAAATCACAGCCCTACTTATAGTAGTGTTAACTTAGAAGTAATTTTAAGATGCTTTTAACTCTTAGTCAAGTTTGTGAGTTGCTTGAAGATGAGTGAAATTCTTAGTTGATGTTTTTTTTGTTTTTGTTTTTCTTCCAGATCATCCATGTCAAGTGCAGAATGGTGGATGTGATCATCTTTGTATTCCATTATGGTCAAATGAACAACCCAGTAGAAAGTGCACCTGTAGTGCAGGATATGTTCTACAGCATGGATCTCAGTGCAAAAGTGAGCATTTATGCTGTTATTTTCTTCAGGGCTTACTTCTGTTAGAATACCCATTCTAACCTAATTGGCCTCATGGAATGTTTGATTCTGAATCCCTGGAATGTTGTGCATGATTTGCAATCTAAAGGAAAATATATCTCCAGTATAATAAAATTGTGCTCTTAAGGTAACTAAGTCATGCAAGTTTATTTATCCTAAAAGCTTGGAAACATCAATGAGTTTGCAGACATTTTCTGGTAGACTCTCACATTTTATCTGGAAATATGTTGATAACAAAACTCTAGCCCTGATTGCAGCACTCAACAGTGAAATTTTCAAACTGGAATATTCAGTTTTAGCTGTTTGAGATCCATTTCCAAAATGTAGGCTGAAGTTCCCTGGCTCCATTTTTTTTTAAATCCAGCAAATGTATCTTTAACACTGTAGCTGCCAGATATCCTTTGTGTGGGTCATATGGCCTCATGGTTAAATTACTGCTTTGGTAACTAACATTTTGATGACTGAAGTATAAAATATAGCCTAGGAAATTTTGTCTGAGGACACAAGATCTTCCCCAAAGGGCTAAATAAATTTTGTTGGAATTTGGTCTCCAGCATTAGTATGGGTATACAAATTAATATACCTTCATTGTATGACTATCCTGAAAGTTCAGTGAATTCAATTCAGTACAAGGTCTACAAGTTGTTACAATTAAGTTTAAGTTCCAGGAATGTATATATATTTTAAAATTATATTGTTACATTGTTACAATTATTGCTATACCACAAATGAATGAATGTGATTGTTGGGGAAGCCCTCATCTGACTCGCATCATGAGTAAGAGATATAACAATGGCAATGTAGCAATACAATGTGCAAAGTACCTGCTTTATTCCTAGAATAAAGCACTGCATCAAGCTTTATCCCAAACTGTCTGAAAACAGTTTCACAGACCACACAAATGTTGCAACAGATGAATGAACATGAACAAGATGCATGGTCATGTGCCTGGACTTATGAATGGTTTTCAAGATTTGGAGCTAGTGAAATGAGGAAGGTGCAACATCTTCATCACTGTTACTAGTAGATGGTTGGCCACACTTCACATCTTCAACACCTCTGCTGGCTGAAAACCTTGCAAACCATAATACAGGGTTGGTATAAAGTTTCTTCTCATGTTTAGGCAGTTATAATATGCAAGTATGCATTGTAAAACTGTAATATTTACTGTGAACACTAATGGGACCATGGAAAAGGGGAATATAGAGTCATCGGATATGGCCACCTGCATTTGCTCAATGTGACCTCCCTTCATGTCTACGATTGCTTACATGCTGTCGTTGAACAACTATTGCATTCCATGAAGGTGATGGTTTGGTGTGGATTCACAAGCAACTTCATTATTGGGCCACATTTATTTGAGGAACCAACAGACAGCAGATCTCAGCCTGGGGCAGTGACCAGCAAATGTTATTGATCAATGCTGGAAGGTGTTGTCATCCCCACACTAAAGGACTGTGGTGTTTTGCTAGAAACAATCTTGATGCAAGATGGGGCTCCTCACATTGAACAGACCATAAAAGTGCTCTTGCAGATGTCTTTTGGTGACCGGATGATCAGCCACCAATTTTCAAACACATGGCCAACCTGTTGGCTTGACCTCACCACAGCAGACTTTTGACTTTGGGGCTATCTCCAGACTATTGTGTATCATGTGGCACCTGCCACTTTAATGGACCTCAAACATGCTATTTGCCATCATGTGGCCATGTTGGATGCTGAACAGCTTCCATCAGCCATCTACCATTGGATATCCTGAATGCAAGCATTCATAGACATGAAGGAAGGTCACATTGAACAGATGTAGCAAATGCTGGTGGCCACATCTGATGATCCTATATTCCTATTCTCCATGGTCCCATTAGTGTTCACACCAAATGTTACAGCTTTATAATGCATAATTTGCATATTGTAACTGTCTGAACATGGGGAGAAACTTTATACTTCCCTTAATGTATTTTTAAATGTGGCTAAGCTGATGCTGATATGCTTATTGCAATAATTTTGGACCTTTGAAGTTATATTCCCTAGTTATGTTGTAGCTATGCCAGCATGCTTATAAAAAATGCAGTCCTGTCCTGGAACTTAATTGTTACTCCTTGTATATCCTATTTTATCTTTTTCTTCAGAAATTATGACACAGATTGCCTTGCTGGTTTCGGATGTTGTGGCATCTACAAGAGTCATAGGAAACCTACCACCTGGACTTCTACGTAAGTCGGAAGGTATATGTTACAACAGTCGACGTATACTAACCTACTGTAGTATGTAAGTAATACAACTGTCCATTTTTACGTCGTCGTCTTAGACTACTTGTAATCTAGATATGCTCTAGTATATGCTTTCTGGTAATGAGGCTTGTACCCCCTCAGGCTTTGATTTCCCCATTGCTATACAATTAGAATTAAATATTTTATTGAGAAAGGATGGATCTTTCCATTCACAGATACACTCTGTCATCCCATAGGTGTCCAATCATACGATAAACTCTTCTTTCAGACAACTATATTGGTTTCCTTACTTTTGTTTTAGTGGCTAACATATTCTCTTTTTCCATAATGACCTGAATATATATAGTATTTGTTCAAGTTTGAGCTTGATTAGAATTTGAGGGATCATTTATTTCTGTATAGTAAAATCTCCATTGGCATCTATTGAGTATATTTCTGATATGCTAGAATGATTAAGGGTATTTATAGTATTTTTGGTTTTCCTATGGCTTGTCTAGCTATTCTGGAATGCTCCTGTTCATATTTGATTTTGTGAATGATCTGAAAATTTACTAAAATATTTTATGTTGAAGGTATTCATGGGACAAATACCATCAAGATTTGACCATTGAGCAACCTAAAGTCTCCAGGTTGCTATATCATTCCTCATATGCAATTGCCATTGACTGGCAGAGACGGAACCTTTATTGGAGTAGCTCGTATGGTTCATCAGACCGGATTTCTGTGATTAGCTTGGATGACTCCAGGAACAACAAAACTCTTTTGACAGCTTCTTCAAAAGGATGCTATGAGCTGGTTTTGGATCATCTACATGGGTATGATTTTGCTTTTGGCTCTTGGTGGAACTGGTGAATCATCCTGCTTGGATGTACATCATATGATTGCATAGCTGCACAAAAGCCTATGTCTGTTCCTCTTTCTAGGTATATGTACTTCATTGATGTGACTAACAACACACTATATGAAGCATGGATGGATGGCAGCCATAAGACCCAGCTGACTTATGTGGACACCTATGTAGGAACTGCTAGCTTAGAGTTGCAGAGTTTCCATCAACTGGCAATTGATGCTGAGAGAAGACATCTGTATTATACTCGAACATTGAATTCAAGCTTCACTATTGAGAGGATGGATTTGGCCAATGCTTCTGTCAAGGTATTTTCAACACTGCTGCAGATTCTATACATTATGCATTAATGTGCTATATGTTTGCATGTTCTTTCCCAGTTGTAGCCAAAATTATTAATGCAAAAAAATTATTGGTTTTCACAAATGAGGTACTGTTAAGCTTGGTTTTACTCAGCTGATGTGTCTTCTAGGGTTGTCAAGTACTGATCTACTTTCGATACCAAAATGCAGATGGACCTCAAGGAAAAATTATATCTGGCCTAGACCCTAGATGTCCCCCAGTGCCTGACAATTTTTGGCATGGGTAATGGCCTGAACTATTTAAGTGTGAAGATTGGGATATGGGTCATCCCCCTTCATGTTTCCTTTGCTGGCACTTGCTGTAAATCTCCAGTATAATAATCATTTTAAATTCCTAAAGGATTTGATAAATTGGAGCTTGGTTGGTTTTCCAACATTATTGCAATGTGTCAGAATAATGCATAATCTTCAAGTTTGACTTCAGTTGTAGAAAGTCTGGTAGTGACTGCAGAGTATGGGTTAGATGGAGATGT